TATATATATATATATATATATACTAGCAGCATGGCCCGGCATTGCCCGTGCTTGATTCAAAAATCGTACGACTCACAGCAATTGCTATCACTTGACTTAAAATATTTTTGCCCTTCCTTGTCTTTAAAGGAGTGCCCTTTGCCGTGCTGATGTTGCTACATGCCTTACTTCTTGCCTATCTTACAGTGCAAATTTTTTCTAAGCTCTATACTAAACATTACGAAAAAAGAACTAAACAAAATGAACACAAAACGATCAGCTTTAAAAAAGGACTCGTAACTGGAAAAACTGAATGAAAAAAGAATGTTAACAACAAATACTTTTTTCACACCCAAAACAGTTCTGTGGAATCAGAATTAACATTGAGTTTAAGCAAGCGAATGAGCCAATTGGAGTAAAGTGCCATGCAGATTTAAATTTTTCCCACTTGTGATGAATGCAGCTATCGATTTTTTTTTTTGCATAGTTAACATTCATGTCAGTCAGCTGTTGGCTCTCACGCTGGCCAATAGAATCTTCCTGCCTATTCGTGGCAGCCAGCTATAGGCTCTCACTCTGGCCAGTAGAAAATGGCCGCAAACTACATGAAAACTGCCGTAGAAGCATGAAAAAATCGTTTATTTCCACTATCGATGGGAGTTGGGAAATGTAACGTTGGTCTTGGCCTTCCCACTAACTTGGAGCATGTGCATGTAAATTTTGGTGCAAATCCATCAAAAATTGTGGCCGTGCATTTGTTATACACACACACGCATCCTGCCTTTTATAGATAGAGATATTAAAGTTGTTCACAAAACAATGCAATATTCCATTTTTCTGAATCATATATATATATATCAATAAATATACATTTTTCCCCTCACTGGTAGCATGACTCAGAGTTTCATACACAATACAATTCTCAGGTGCTGAGTGGAGACAAACTATTGCATAATTTAAATTTTAATAAAAATATCTGGTTAATGCAATTTTGGCGCAGTTCATATATTATACGGGGATTATGGGTTTAAAAAAAAATAAAATTTTGTATTTAAAATAGACTGGTTTTATATTTTAAATAAACGGTATTAATGGTTTTATTTTATATTTAAAATAAATGGGGAGTAATGGTTTTTAAAAAGAATTGTATCAAAATAAATAACTATAACTAAAAAAATTATATATGCTTGACATATGTAAATGGAAGAAAATAAGAAATGGTAATAATCTACAGTAGAAATTTGAATCAACATATTTCAACAGGTATTTATTTTTATGTCTACATGTGACCATTAATTCATTTCTCTTGTTTAATAAGTTAGGGTTATTAAAGTGTAGGTACCTCCACTAATTCGGTATATGTAAAGTTTAAAATGAATTTTTAAAAATGAAAAAGTTTTTATTTTAGCTTTAATTGAAAGTTAAAGTATTTAAAATTTACTATTTCAAGCAAGTAAAATACTCTGGTGTATTTCAAACAGAAATTATATTGATCGGAATCAATTTTTTTTTCAGTAAAATCAATCAAAATTGCCATTTTTGATACATTTGTAAACAAAAGTTAATTCTCAGTTTTAAAAATCTAGCAAAAATAAAATATTTTTGAAATCTTATTTGAGGAAAATTAGCAAATTTAAAGTTAAATTAATCTTTGAAACAAATATTACTTACTGATAGTATAAAATGTTGTACTGAAGCATTTCTTAACCACAGGGTCTTGTTTTTCTGATGGGTTAATCGATTTATTGACAGCTGATTGGCTGCGGAACATGTTCATAATTAAGTATAGTGGAGCAGACAATAAATTATATATGAAGGTTTTTTTCGTCTAAGTGAGGACAACCCTTAAAACATGTGACATTTTAATGATATTTTTATAGGTCTGGATAATCATAGTTCACAAATTCTGTATTTATATCACACATACAATAACAAATCAAAATTCTTTTAAAAATATTTGGGGCAGTCAGATTGTAATAAGCTTTATGATATATGATTACTTAATAACAAGATATCTCAAGAAGTATCTCATTGAAAATGAATTCTAAAAGATTTAAAAACATTATAAATTATTCAATTTAAAATTGTAAAAAACGAAAACAAATCTTGTAAAAATTCATTTTTCATCAAAAAATTTTTTTTTCTTCAGACAATATTTTTAAAATATATTATACATAAAAGCAATTAAAAACTTCTCTAATAAAATGTCTTAGTTTTATTGTATTTTTTGATTCAAAACAGATTTTCAGTAAGACGGGGTTCAACTTTGAAAAAAGAAAAAAAAATCAGTGATTTTAATTCTTCAAAGGATTCTGCTTTTAACTAATATAGTCACTAAAAATTATCACATTGAATTTCTCAAGTTTTCACAAAATTAAGTGGGAGGCAACATAAAAAAATATTTTTACTAAGATTTTCTAAATAAAAAATTAAAAAATAATTTCATTCATTTGTAAATAAGTCCTGAAAATTTCATTAAAACCTGACAATTATTTGATTTTTGCAAAATTTTGCTAGAAGTTAGTACAAGCACTGCCACAAGAAAAACAAATTTTTTAATCAAAATTTTAAATGTTCTAAAAAGAAGTAAAAAATTGAATTAAATATTCAAATACTTTGAGCCTTCCTCTTAATAATGACATAATTTTGATGATAAAACTGTTTTCATTACATTTGGAGCATATTTTCATCATGGTAAACTGATTTTTTAGAGATCTTGTGGAGGTACCTATTTAAGTATTTTCTACAAGACATAAACCAATGTGCAATATCTTTTCTTTGAAAAGTATTAAAATCCTATTCAGAAATCTGTGACAAGTTCTGTGGCTCTCAATTATTGTAACCATGTGTTTGTGTTGAAAGAGTTTAATTGGTTGAGGAAATGGCATTCATGTCATTTTAATAATGTTATCAAAATCAAGAAGAACTCGTGTTGATTGCCAGAGATCAATGATGAAATATTTTCAAATGCCAACTTAGGCAATAAAATATTTTCAATGCAATTTGACGACTGCCCATAAGTGATGTTTGACCATTTCTTTCACAGTCAAGTAGTTCGAGGAGGAAACAACTATGGTTGCCTTCACCACAAATGCCAACTTAGGCAATAAAATATTTTATGAGTTGATTTATGGCTTCAACTGAAGTTTTAACATTGTTTTCACACTGAAAGTATCCCAGCGAATAAACTCACTGTTTGCAGATACAGATGAAAATGTATCAGCAAATGCCAAGCATGAGATAACTTGTAGTCAGCACCATAATAAAAATTGCCAGTTAACTCGTCGTTGGCAGTCAATGTTTTAAACAACTGAGATTATTTACCTTACACTTAAAAATTGCCTTGTGCCTAACAAATATCAAAAAGCTTAGTTCTTCCCATTTGTTTCTAGAAAGCAGATTAAATTTACAAGTATACCTCACCCTATGTTGTTAATTGGTTCCAGAGGTCAAGACTTAGGTTGAAAAAAGACATGTTGAAATAACCGCACTATAAACCACAAATAAGCACTCTCCATTGCTTATTACAGTATTTATATGTACATAAGGTATTCTGAATAAAATAATTAATTTCCACCTTATCTTCCAGCAATATAGTCTTATATTTAGCATTAGCACTTGCACTGGGAATTTTCTTTGGAGACATGGGTAAAAATGTATTCTAAACCACAATTGAAAGAACATCAATGGCAGAGCACAGATGTAAACAACTCTGAATTCAAAATTGGTGTTGGAGTAGAAAACAACACGCAGCTGTCGGCAGGAATTTGAAATAAGAGCATCTGTTGAATATACTTTATTATGCTAATTTTCTTGCTTTTGATGATTTTATGAGACATTATATATATAGTTTTAATGTATTAAATATGTTATTTTTATTGATATAAATATTTAAGTAAATGCTCTATTTATAATAAACAGTATTAACAACTTTTACTGGCCTGAATGTCCGAGAAATTTAATAGAAATTATGCATCCTCTGTCAATTACATTTCAATTGTGATTTAGAATACATTTTTACTCATGGCTCTGAAGAAAATTCCCAGTGCAAGTGCTAATGCTAAGTGTAAGGTTATATCACTGAAAGATAAGGTGGAAATTAATTATTTTATTCAGAATACTTTACATACGCATCATAAATACTGTAATAGGAAATGGGGGGAGTGATTATTTGCCGTTTATAGTGGGGTTATTTTCTATGAAATTTCTCAGAGATTCAGGCCAGTAAATGTTGTTAATACTTTTTATTATAAACAGAGCATTAACTTAAATATCTGTGTCTATATAAAGAGCATAACAATAAATATACTAAAATTGTTGGATTTAGTCCATTTTATTATATATATATATATATATATATATATATACATACATACATACATACATAGATAGATATAGTGTACATATTATTATTTTTAAATTTATTTAAATATAATTTAAATGCATTTATTATTATTTTAGTGTTTTGAGGCTTCTAATATTTTTAACAGCCAGCATAAACTTGAGTAAAACAATCTAAGGTCAGTTTTGTTTTTCCATATAATATTTAACCAAAACTGATGTATCTTTGAAAATGACTTAACTCAAAATGACTTAATCTGAGGTATCACTGTATTTGGAAATCTCTCATCTTTTCTCATTGGTTCATTGTTGATCCAATGTTTTTGTTTGTTTCTGTCAAAACGGACGATGAACGACTAAAATAAAGCAAATAGAACAAAAACAGATATAAAAAATATTTTTAATAAAATATAAAATTGTTCACGATGAAAAAGCAGCAGAGAAAATTTTTGCACACCCGGATTTGTTTTCCCCAAATTTTAATTTATTTTGGGCGTTCACAATTCCTTGCTTCTTGGAGTGCTTCTTTTTCCTCTTGAGGATTTCATCTTCTGTCTCATTCTGCTTGTACTCAAACCCTTTGTAACGAATTTCCTCTGTGTTTTCGGCCCCGTTGCTTTTTATCCGTTTCTCTATACGTTTTAGCACTTTTGCTTTCTCGATACTTTTGATACGGAAACTGGCTTCGCGTTTGGCTTTGGACAGTTCTGTTTGCAACCGCTGTTTATGCACAGCTTGTTCGTAGGCCAACCGCTCTCCAAGGTGTGTCCAAAGAAACTTGGGTAAATATTTCATGTTCCATAATTCTCCTGCCCAAGGAGCTGTTGGCTTTGCACTCACTTCTTCACCATTAAGCATCTGAGCGGCCAGTTTGGCATGCCTTTTCCGTTTGAACTCAACCCAACCTTCTTTGTAGAGACGACCTTTCTTACAAACCCGTGACTCTTCTGAAAAGAAAGGAAAACAATTACTAATCATTATTCATGGTTTTTCCCAACAAACTTTTTATCTTCTCTACACACATAAACAAGTGAAATTCTCACTATCGGACAAGCAGTTCACATGGGCAGGTCATTAACACATGTGTCAATGAAAATTTAATCTTATTTTCAGGCCATAATAGTAACATTTATCTTTTAGTAGAACAAAAATTTAAGGTAAGAAAACTCCAAAGAGTTTTTGTATTTTTCCAGCTAAATTACCTGGTCACTCATTACACGTGTCTCTAAAAAAAAACATATGAGAAAGGCTGTATACATTTATCATTCTTTTGGATTCCGATCCAGATTTGATCGACATTTGACCCCAAATTCACCATTTTAATCGGTATTACTGTCTCTTGTGTATCCAACACCACATAACAGCCGTCTTGCTGTTTCTCATTTTTATGAGTAGTTTTGTATATGTTAGGGGGATTATAATCATTTTGTATATGTTAGGGGGATTATAATCATTTTGTATATGTTAGGGGGATTATAATCATTTTGTATATGTTAGGGGGATTATAATCATTTTGTATATGTTAGGGGGGATTATAATCATTTAGTTATAACTCCCCTACAATCTTCTGAGTTTTAGAAACAAATGGATATTGATTAGGTTATTTGGAGTAAATTCATATTTAGGAAGCACAATAAAGAAAAAGAGGCAAGATTAGCCATTTTAATTGGGTCTTTTCAGTATCTGAATACTTAACAATTGGGAATATTATATTAAAATGTAAGCAATTCAAAGATAGGAAAATTTCATCAGAAATAAAAAAATAGAGAGCTAGACTGTTATGTAATATCTAATTTTTTATAAGGCAATGAATGCTGGACAATCACTTCACATAGAAGAAGTTATTTGAAGTGACTGAGATGTGACTCTACAGAAGGATGTTGAGAATACCATAAACTGAGCATGTGAGCAATAAAGAAGCTTTAAGTGAAAATAAAAGACACATACTTAGAATCCAAAAGAGGGACACTTGTATAAATAATAAAGAAGGGAGGCATGGAGAATTTAATACTCACAGGATATATTGAGGGACAAAAGGAAGCAGCAAATAACCTACCTAATGAGCTTATGTAAATGAATGGAAGAGCAGGGACTGGGAGGGATGGTAAATAGACAAATGTTGCTTAGCGGTACAAAGATCAGAAAGCTGTGGAGAGTCACGATTGTCCATATCCTGAAGGAAGAGAACACATAAAGGAAACAATAGTAATCATGAAAAACAATTTATATGTATATACAGTAGAAGTCTTCATAAACTATAGCTCTTAAGGTGTGCTATATCTGTGTTGCCATTTAGATGCTGTTGGAATAGGCTACATTCTAATATTTTTCTTTGTTTTGCAGATAATTGTTAGTAATTTGAAATTTCTTAACCCATAATGTCTCATACAGAAGAAACTTCAACTGGAAGAAAAAGGAAAAGAAATTCTTTCACTTTATGTCAAAAATTAGAGATCATTGAAAAACTAGATGAAGCTCCTAATTTGTTGAATTTGTACAAGGATTTCAGAATCTGAATGAAGCAATAAAACGTGCTTGAAGATGATCCACGGAATGTTTTTACTTCGGATGACTTAAAAGAATTGATAAATAAGGACGCCAATGAATTACAAAAGAATTCAATGCTAGAAATGCTTCAAGATGATTTGGATTGTCAAGAAATAGAGGAAGAATCAAATTCTTTGGATAATGGTAAAAATATGAAGGATGAAGAAGAAGACTGGGGCTCAGTCGAGAAAGCTATTGATGAAGACATCTAATTCATGGAGAAAAAAAAATCTTTGTTCAGTAATACAGGATGTACAAATGCATGTCATTTACAGAAATGCTTTACTTTAAAAAAACTAGAACAGCGAAAAGTAAGTGAAATGAGAAAAGAAATAAGAAAGACATGTGAAAATAAAACTTATTGAGCATTAAACATTACAAATTAATATTTACTTTCATGAGACACTTAATAATTTTTCATCTATTGTGATAAGTTCTTGTGTTTTGCTAAGTTATAGTCATATTACATCTGAACACATCCTCATATCTGAACTACTTTGAAGTTTGGATATGAGGTCTTCTACTGTATATGATAAACTATAGCTCTTAAGGTGTGCTATATTTATGGGAGAAAAGTGTTCAATATATAAATATAAACAGTGTGGCCATAGGTATAAACACTGTATGGCAACAGTCTGTATCATGTTTAACACAATAATCAGGTCATTACATTTAAGTAGTCTTTTTCCTACTTAAATGCGATGACCTGATGATTGTGTTAAACAGGATACAGACTGTTGCCATATAGTGTTTAAACCTATGGCCACTTTAGTGAGAGGTAGAGATATTAGCATAATGATTATGGGGCCAGAAAATGAAATCTGATGATCTGAGTTCCAATTTCACCTGCAATTTGCACTAAAACCCTTCAGAAAGGCATGAATCCATTCTCCCCTCCATTTGCTAGCTGTTGGCTAAATTGTGAGTCAGATTGGTTAGCAGTCAGAACAGGAGAAGACAAAATCATTGGGTTTATGCATAGCAAGAAGGGCATTCCTTGTATTGAAGCTTGGTGTGGCTATTCAATACAATTGATACGCCACTTGATGTTTTGGACTCCACTTTGCCTCAGGGTACTGGAGATGCCAAGAAAGAGGGTCTATACCTGTGCAACTCCTAAAAATACACCCTAAAAATATCCATTCATAAACACGTTATTCTTTGAAAGGAAACACAAACACACACACACACAGAGTGTCCTACCAAAAAGGTATGCATATGTTTACAACCCACAGCTCATTAAATTTTTTTTTTTAAAGATTTAAAATAATGGCTGAAAAGAAAGAAAATTTGAGAAAAGAAATTTCTACTGGAAATATGAAAATGTAGCTGAAGTGCAAAGATTGTTTAGAATAGAGTTTCAAACAGATCAACCAATGTGAGTTGCATTAAAGATAAACTTGAAACAAAAGGAACTGTTCAAAGCATCCATAAGTATCATCTTAGAAGACTGCAGAAGTCGTCAATAAATCTTGTGAGTGAAGAAAGCCTGCATGAAAAAAAAAAATCTGTTCATCAAATGCCTTGGGAGAAATGAAATTCAGCATTGAGTGCCAATCAAATTTTGAAGTGTGTTCAGTGGAAAAAGTTATTCCTTATTTAGTCCATGCCTTCAATAGAGTTGGCCCTCACCATTATGATTGTGAGGAGGTGGATAAATGAAACTCTTTGGAACAGATGCATTGAATACCCCGCAATACAAATAGCTTACACTAGACTTCAGGTTACTGAACATATTTTAGGAGGTCACCCCAAAGTTTTATGATGGATAATACAAAAAAATAAAGCAAATAGTAAAAGAAGTGGTCAAATAGTGAATCAATTTTCTATCGTCAGCAGTTTTGGGACCAGAATGGCCATCAGTTTCAACACTCAAAAGGCGTCTATATTTATCTCCTTTAATTTGAATTTTAAGGTTAATGTCTTTCTGTACAGAAGAAAATACTCTTTTGTGTGCTGCAAACTGCTTTTGCAGAAAAAGGAATAAAAATGCTTCACCATTGAATGAGGTCAGTGGGTTCATGAAGGTGAGCTACTTTTAACCAATTCTGGTTCAAGTGTCTCCAAGTGGAATGGATTACATAGAAAAAGAGGCTAATCCATTTCATCTTCCACAAACAGCAAAACAAACTGTAAAGTGGCTAACTGCTATAAAAGCAAATGACGTTTCCTACCAAGAAGAATTTGACGAGGAGGCTGTGTACATGGACATGGAGATTTGGAATGTGAACTTTTATTATACAATCTTTGTATCATTGAACAATCAAAGTGTATAGGCATTTTGGGGGAGGGACACCTTGTATGTGATTAGTTCTTGATAAGGTGTATCGCAGTTTCAACTTGCTATTACTTCTACTACCTGAGCAGAAAAATTCATATTAATTTAAAACATTACTTAATTTATTAAAAATGTAAAAAAATATTCATTACAGAATAAATTAAAATATTACACCTTTTCGAGTGCAATATATAGGTGCTTTACATATTCTTAGGATTGATTACAAATCCTTAGTAAATGATCTCAGGTAGAATGACAAAGACTTTAAAAAGTGCAAGTGAATTAATGCCATTTTAGCATTACTTCATAAACTAGGAATCTTGTCTGCTATGTTATAAAAGGCTCAACCTGCAGGACATTTCCTGACCATTCCTACAACTTTAGTGGCAAAAGAAAGATTCTCAACTTTGATTAGAATTTAATCATTCTTAAGATACACAATGGCTCAAAGTTTCATCAATAAATAGATACTTAGTGATTTAGAATGAAAAAAGAATTCCATCAGATATTAGAAGAATTTACTATTAAACCAAGATGTTTAAATGAAATAAGTGTTTATTTCTTACAAAGATTTATGTATTTTGAGTTTTAATGTACAAGTGCAGTGTCCATTCCATATAAATGCATTACTGATTTTGCTACAGAAAAATCTTTCATATGATTTTATGATAGAAATGCATTGAAATAAATTTTGGAATAGACTTCACCATACTAAAAATGGTACCCTTAATTTTGTTATAAAAATTATACTCAACCTAAGTAATATTGAAGATCTAGAGTCACCACTGTGTGGAACCATGATCACTTGCCAGATATGTTCCACACAGACAGATTTCTTCCAAGGTACATAGATTTGATAAGAATTAAGTGCTTTAGATCACCCACTTAACATGGTACCCTAATTTGTATGCAAAATTTTGTTAAAAAATTATACTCATCCCAAGTAACATTGAAGACCTAGAGAGTCACTTTTGTGTGGGTTTCTCTAATCTACAGAATCATAGAATTAACTGTATTCTTTAATTTATTCTATGTTTTTTTCTAGTCTGAAAAAAAAAAAGAAAGAAAAACGAGACATGAACACAAAACCCAAAAAACCCCAAAGCTCTTACCATCTGCCTGAAGGTAAATCCGTCCAACTTCCCCAAAATATGACAAACGTTCCTTTAAGATTTTCACATTCATATAACGTGGTATTCGGCTGAGGTAAATCACACCGGCTTTTGATGTTGTTTCTTTTAATTTTCTTTTCTTTTGCTTTTCATCATTCTTCATATTTTCTTCTTCACACACATCTTCCATCTGGGGAAAAAATATCAACAACAAAAAAAATTTCATTCTTGATAAGAAATTTCTTTTTGAAAGACAATTTTCAATCACAAACCCCCCAAAAAACACGATGACAACTTTAAGGACTTTTTTCTGTAATTAATCAAAATTTAAGCTACATGATTTTTTTTTTTCATTTTTTGATTAAAAATAGAAATGTATTCTTCAGTGTTCATGGTCACTGCAGAACAGGAAACATTGTTTTTTTTTTTTTTTTTTAAACTGATTTTATGTTCAAGATTGAAGAGAAAATCGGGAATAAGCAGAAAATAAAATAAAAACATTTTTTTTGTTTCTTTTTTTTTTTAAAAAGTGGGAAACGGTTGCAAGTTTTAACCGGAATTTTCTACTGATTCAAAATATCTTCTTATAGAAAAAAAACAAACTTTTATTTATCCATACACTACAAATGTGAAGAAGAATATTTTCTAGTTTCTGTTTCGATCACTTGTTTCGTGAATTCTGTTCTTTGATGGGCGACTAAAAAGTTTAACAAACAATATGTTGGTTTGTTCAGTAGAAAACGTTTTTCGCTTTGAAATAAAAATGGAATGAATGGAAGCATACTATTAAAAAACAATCAAAACTGAATTAAATGATTAAAATAACTAGAAATAGAAAAATATATTTTTATTTAAGGTGCACATTATTTCCGGAAAACACGAAGAAAGAAGGCAAAATAATAATTTTACTTAAGACGGCAAAGAAAAATCCAGAAATCATACAGCCTTTCTGTCAGGATATTTAAAAAGCAACAAAAAAAAAAAAAAAAAAAATAATTAGAAAGTGAAGAAAACACAAATAAATTAAGAATTTAGTAATGTATCAATTATTCACACCTCATGGTCATCTGCGGAAGCCATTTTGAATGGTAAGGATCGGTGTAAAGCAAAAATAATAAACGGTGTAAAAATGCCTTTTCCTCTGGTCATGCTTTTAGAAGTGGAAGAAAAAAAAATAAGGTTATGTTTTTGCAAGTTTCTTTAACCGAACTGGAGAAGTGCATGAACAAAAACAATGAAATCCGTTTATATAAACTAAACATAATTGTCACTGACTAGTTTAAAATTGATTTGTCATTGTTATTCGATTTTTTTCATCTTTTCTTTTTAAAAATCCAATATTTTTCCTAGAGATATGCTTTTTAGCTTTGTGAAGTCATTTAGTAAATTAAATTTAAGGATTAATTATGTATTTGTAAATTAATGTTTAATTATTACTAATGATTTAATAAAAATAACGTTTATTTACGCCTGTGGGGTCATCGTCCAAAAATAAAAATTGTAATCACACAACTGACTTAAAAGGGCATGGAAAACTACAAATAAAAATTAAAAGAAATACGGAACATCAACAATGCAATAATCAAGACATTGGTATTTGTTTCAAAATAAATTATCTTTAACCCTGTATAACTAATAGTTTAATACTCGCCGGAAAACGAACTTCTTTTCCCCATATTTTGGTTTTATATTCTAAAATTAAGTGCCTCCAAAAATTCGCTAAAAAGATGCTCAAAACTTAATAAAAACTTAGTTTTATCATCAAAATCTTTGTGCTATTAGTAAGAGGAGAGACCAACGGATTTTTTTTTTATGTAAAAATTAATTTTTTAAAAGTTCTTTTTAGAAACTGCAATTTTTTTTCTTGCGTCAAAGGGGGACCATAAATTAATACAGGAAATTTGAAAAACACATTAATTTGGAAGTTCCTGTAAAAATCAAATAAGTGTCGGATTTTAATTAAACTTTCAGGACTTTTTCTAAAATGAATGATATTGTTTTTGAAATGATTCCTTAGTTTTTAGAAAATCTTGCTAGGATATATATGCGTGTTTGTGCTCGCAGACAGTAATATTTCGCTGTATCAGACAACAACGCATTAAACCAGGATTGAAACCCCACCGATTTGATGTCAGTCAGAGTTTCTACCACTGAACTATCTTCATTCTAGCAATTTGTATTTATACAAATGTAAACAAATGTCAATCAGCCGGAGTGCTCCATTTATTTTACTGAAGAGCTTCGTATTAACGCAGGTGGCTGCTGTTTGTATAACCGAATACATTTGTTATCCAACCTCACTTATTTAATTTTAGAAAATTTCGAAAAATTCTTTTTTTAATGTTTATATTAGTTATAAGAACAAGTCCTCCGAGAATTTAAATCATGAATTTTTTTCGCTCCAGTTAGAGAAAATCTGTTCTGAATCGTAAAATAACAAATGCAATAAAACTAAGACATTATTTATTTAGAAAAGCTTTTAATTGTTTTATGAATAAAATATATTATGGACATTATTGTTTTATGAAAAAAACTTTTATTTTTCGGTGCATAATTAATTTTTACAGAAGTGTTTTCTTTTTTTAAAATTTTAATTAGAATAACTTTAAAGTCTTAAAATTCTGTATTAATTTGTATCGGTCAAATGATATTGTTGTTAGATAAAAACTGTATTTACTAATCATAAATGGAAAATCTTACTACAATTCAACGACACCCAGTATTTTAAAAAGTATGTCAGTTTTTGTGCGTGTATAAAATATAACGAATTTTGGAAATAGGGACGCCCATACTCGACATTACCGGAGAATAATCGCACTAAGTAAATTTAAAAATTAATGGTAATTTTCTAACATTTCCTCAACAAGCCTCTTGATAAGTAAGACTATAAAGTCAAAGTACCTAAAATTCACTAAAACATTAGAATTTTCAAAATATTTTAAATTTTAAAGATTACGGGATAGTTATAAAAAAATGGCGTTTATGTTGTATTCGTCATGTAATTTTATAACAAATATCGCCTCTTTAGATAAACTTTCCAAACATCAATATGTCGATAGATGTATCAACACCTCATAAAATCACTTACCTCCGTGTTAAAAAATGCTTTTCTGCAATAATTTATTTCGCAGAAATGCGTTTGATAAAAGTATTATTTTGTATAATACTTTTTTTTATAATATATTTGTTTCAGTTTAGATTAATTGAAGCTTAAAGCAAATAATTTTCTCAAATAACGTTTCAGAAAAGTATATTTTATTTTTGAAAGATTTTTTTAATAAAGATTATGATGTGTTGACAGATTTGTCAATATAGATGATTTTAGCGATTTTACTGATAATAAAAAAAATTCAATTTGAAATAAAGCAAAATATTTTTATTATTGAAAAATAATGCATTTAATCTATTAGATTGCAAATAAAACTAAAATAAAAGCTTTAAGAAAAAAATTTAATTTCAAAAATACATTCTAAACCTTAGGTACCACTTTTTTGGAGGTACCTACATAAATTATTTTTAATAAAAAAAAAAAAAAAATTACTGAATCAGAGAAATGAAATAACTATTTTTTGCCGTCACTGTCAAAAATTTTCCTTAAATAATATTTAAAAATAAAATTAAAAAGTGCGACTTGGTAATATACATACGTATATTTGATATGAAAAAATAATTTTATATACTATAAGTAATTCCATTACACTTACTTGTTTTAAAAAGAAATATTGTCTATTAAAATTAAGAGTGAAAATATTTTAAAATTGTAGCTAAATAAAACGAATTCTAACCTAAACATCTTTTAAAATTGTAGTTAAATAAAACGTATTCTAACCTGAACATCTTTTAAAATTGTAGTTAAATAAAACGTATTCTAACCTAAACATCTTTTAAAATTGTAGTTAAATAAAACGAATTCTAACCTAAACATCTCTCTCAAAGTACTTCTAGCACTTAAAAGAATCCAACAAAACACCTACAGTAAAATGAAATTAATAAAAAAAGCTAGAATATGTAGGCCATTAAATGATCCATGTCCTTTGTACATACATGAGAAACTATTTATTACTAAGTTTATAAAAAATAAAAATTTACTGAATCAGAGAAAAGAATTAGCTATTTTGCCGTCATTGTCAAAAATTTTCATTAAATAATATTTAAAAATAAAATTTAAAAAAAAATGTGACTCGGTAATATACATACTTATACTTGATATGAAAAAATAATTTTATATACTGTAAGTAATTCTTGTACATTTACTTGTTTTAAAAGAAATATAGTCTATTAAAAATTAAAAGTGAAAATATTTTAAAATTGTAGTTAAATAAAACGTATTCTAACCTAAACATCCCCCAAAAATCTTTAAGTATACAAACAGAAAAAATGCCGTAAGAATTTTTTGCCGTTAACAATAAAATTAACAAAAAACCCCAAAAAACCCAGACGACATGCATTTAACGGATATCAGAATTCGTTGAAAAATACATCCCTACCCCTACCTAAACATAACCCCTTTTTCGAACGTAACTAATAACTGATACAACAAAAGTTAATAAAATTGAACACGTTACCACCCCTTGTCTGAATGATTGGATCTCTCTGTATCCTTGGAAACAGTGAATTATGAATTTTTCCGTGCTTTTAAAACTCAGTAAACTTAAAAAAATAAGTTACTCCAAAATTCGCTTGAGGATGAAATGGAACTAATGTTTTTAATTCAATTACAAAATTAAATTTGAAGCTTTTAGCTTCCATTTTTGAAACATGGTTATTACTGTGTAGCGAAAATTTTTTTTAAATCAGTTAATATATATGTGTGTGTGTGTGCGTGTGTGTGCGTGTTTGCGTGTATGTGCAGTCAACAATAGATAGTTAATAATTTCAGATAAAAATGACTTTGATGCATTCTCTAATGAAGCGAACGTAAAGGTATTAAGAACATTAATGCAGAAGAGTGTAAACATATTAGTTGCTATAAATGAAAAATAATAACAATTATGTAAGAGCAAAACTAGAAAGACACTAAGCTAATTTAATTGAGAAATTTTTTTTTGTGCACAATCATTATTAATAAATATTTGAACACGGGCATAATCTTCTAAGGGACATAACTCTTCAATAAAATATAATAATTATCTCCCCTTTCTCATGTTTTTTTTCCAGATAAATAAAGGAAAATGAAAGGAGCAAATAGTAATATTGTCTTGTTTTTTTTTTATTCAATCTAATACTACAAAATTGATTTTGCAAGAATCAGGAGCGATGATCGGGAAAAACACACTATTGGCATAAATTCATAAAATTCCTTCAGTAACAGCAGTTACTTAACAGTAACACTGTCTAGTTTCTGCATAATTATTACACCTCATGATATGGAAATTGAATCGTTTCATTTTTGTTTATTGTTTTGTTCTGTTCAAGAAACCAATCCACAAATGCTAATAATTTTAACGCCATTGGTTATTTACTTATGGTCGCTTAGCAACGTCTGGTCATGTGACCATGCTTCTTATTTACCGCTGCGGAGATGTGTGATCTTCAACGTTAGGTCAACAGGTGAGCGATCCATTTCAATATCAAATTTAGTCATTATTATTACTTGAAACAAGACCCTCTCGACAAAAAGTGACGAAGATTTTTGTTTTTTTATGAGGAAAATAAAGAGTAGCAATGATTTTGTTTTTAGTTTAAATAAAACAATTCCTTTGTCAACATTGGAAAAAATTGAACTTGCTAAAAAAACCTTCCGTTTCAATTAATCGGTCAAAACTTTTCAAGCTCTGATCCACCTGAAAAGTTTTTTTGTCATGCATTTGTTTTTTTCAATCGTCTTTCGAATAATAATAATAATAATAATAATAATAATAATAATAAAGAGTAAAGACATTACTACATTTTTCATTCAGCTGACCCATTTATCAGTGTTACTGTTACTGTTTATTCAAGTGACGGTTGTCATTGGGAATCGAGCGACACTATCTTTTCTCGTTCGATCTTTCTTTCACCTTTTCTCTAATTGACTATTTCCCCAAAGTTTCAGTGGTACAATTTCTAGAATAGCATTTACAGCACAATCCTCACCGTCATATTCTACAACGCTTTCAGTACAAATTTGGTAATATTTCCATAAATTGTCCCTTAATCAATGGAAGCGCTACGTTCGCTAACAGAATCTTTTTGTTTACAACAATTGCCTGAACGTCTAACTTGGATCGACAACTATGTCTGGATCCGACGTAATCAAATAATATCGGATTTTTCTTTTTCGAAATGTTGCGCTTAGTTCAAGAGTAAATTTTGTCAGATGTTCAGCCTGTTGTTAAGAATTCAGTCATCTAGACTGAATTTTTAACAACAGGCTGAAGAATGAAATGGGCGAAACGTTGAAAAAAAGACAACAAAAAACAAAGCGAATAACCGCCCAAATTTATTAGACGTTTTCACGCATAAATTACTACTACTACTACTACTTTCTTCCACATTCTATAGGACAGCCAGTATGAATGACGTATCTATCTATCTATCTATCTATCTATAAATGTGTGTGTAAAAATTTCAGGTATAGTGTATCTGTAAAAGGACAATATGAATAACGATAAAAGGAAAACTTATCTTAGCCGACGCGTTTGGTACTTTGAGGGACTTTCTCAAGGCAAATGCCTTGAGAAAGGCAAATCATTTGCCTTGAGGACGAAACGCGTCGGCAAAGATAAGTTTTCTTTATTCACACACACACACACACACACACACACACACACACACACACACACACACACACACACACACACACACACACACAGACACACACACACACACACACATATTGCTCGAATATACGTCACGAATAGGTTCAGGTAGAAAAAAATGATAAGATCACATGAGAAATTGAATAAAAAACTAAATCAAATCACCTTCTTTGTCGTATTCAATGAAACGTGTATGAAAGAAAAATTGCTACATAAATACATAGATTTTTAATTATACACATACACGCATACACACTTATATATATATATATTATTATTATTATTATTATTATTATCAATGAATAAAAAAAAAAATCACGATACTTATCTAAATCAACTAAAATCTCGCGATGTTAACGCTCCTCAGAGTCAAGAGAAGAACGAATATATATATATATATATATATATATACAAAGATATATATATATATATATATATATATATATATATATATATATATAAATATATATATATATATATACAAAGATATATATATATATATATACAAATATATATATATATATATATATATATATATATATGATACAAATAAATATATATATATATATATATATATATACAAATATATATATATATATATATATATATATATGATAAAATAAATAAATAAATATATATATATATATATGATAGAAATAAATATATATATATGTATATATGATACAAATAAATTTAAAATATATATAATTTATACATATATTTTTAATTTATTTGTTTAATCGTTATATTTAATGAATATTCGTAGGTCGTATATTTTTCTAACAAGTTTTCGTGAATATTCAGTGTGGTAGATGGAAATAAATAAAAATATACATTTTTATAATAAAAACAGAACATCTTTTCAAATATGAGCAGCCATTAAAAATAACATTTAAACAAATTTTGTTTCCTGTTTGGTCGTAGCATCAAACTACCTGCTCGTTATGTTAGTGTTTTGTTTATTATTTCTTTTAGGTTACCTGTTCTCAAAGTTGTTTGTCGCAATTTATTTAGTCTTATATACGCGCAGTTATTTTTCAGATTTTTTTAAAATGACTTCAGTATGAAAAACCATTTCATCTTTAATAAAACTTCTTTAATATGAAAATCAATAAATAATACAAATTAAAAATGCATAATGATATATAAATATGCATAATAAATGCATAAATATTAAATATTTCAAATAAATACACACATTCACAAATATAATATAACTTCGGAAGAGGTGATTCAAATTCTGCTTATGTACTTGAAAATAACCATTTTGTTTTCTTGGAATTTGTCACAGATGGAAATATTTTATTATTTTATATTGTTTCTTTCTTTCATTTCGAAAATAGAAAATGGCTTTCGATAATCTAATGAAGTGACTGATTTGTTTCACGAACAGAATGATTGTAATTAGTTTTGTTGTCGTTTCCGAAATTCTCTCTCAAAAACTATCTTTAAATGCTATTATTGATATTTCATAACAGTTCAGGAGAAAATGTTTTCCCATTTAGGAAATATTTGGAATTAATGCTTAAAAAGTAAAATTAAAACAAAAATGATAAACGGATCTAAAAATAGAGGAATGAAAGAAATTATAAATTCGTAAACTTAAGGAATCAGCACATATACTAGGCCACAAAAATCTCCTGAGCCGATCAAGCATAGAAATGAATACAATATGGGAACTAGTAATAAAGAGTACCCGAGAAAAGCGATAATAACAACAAAAATTGCAATATGAGCTCCGGTAAAAAATGTTGCTGAAGATATTAGGTTTATAATACCCAGAAATTCATACACAGATGTCCTCAAGGACACATGTCACAGTGGATAAAGGCATTGGTTAGATCCAGTAACAAGACCCAAAGCGTGTGAGTTCAATATCTGGTTAAAGCGGTGGAGAAATTGGAGAGGAGAATTAGCAGGAGATAACTGATAACTGACATCCATTAAACATGGCACGTGGAACTAGAACAGTCTACACCAGTGAGCGAAATAAAGGGTTCAGTTCGACATTCCAACCATCTGAAGAAGGCCGGAGCATACAACAGCCGAAACGTAATAAATATGGCGACAAAGATGAGGACAATAGTCCGAATAATATAAATAGTGTAAGAAATTATAAATTAAAAAATAATGAGATATTTTCTTGATAAAATCTTATTTTCATTCTTGACAAAAGAAAATTTGAAAATAAAAATATCTGTATATTTAAAATCTTTCATGTAGTTAATCAGTGTTTTTAGAAGGACGAAACGTCCTGAGTGTGACAATAAACTAGGAGGAGAGTGGAGGCTTTGAGGAGCGTGGAACCACCTCTTAATGGCTGTTATTCCTAGGTTCATCCTCACCCGGTGTGGTAGCACTTGTTAGGGTCCCATCTATGGGCAAATACTGAACACCACAAACTGGGATCAAAACACTAGGAAAGTATAAAAATACATTTTTATAGTAAAATTACCAGCAATACATTTTCATAGTTAAAATAATTACCAGCAATATATTTTCATAGTTAAAATAATTACCAGCAATACATTTTCATAGTTAAAATAATTACCAGCAATACATTTTTTTTTTTATAAAACATATTAATGCTCCCAATCAAGAAAATTAAATTTCGGCATTAAATGACCCATAAGGTGTTGATATGCCGCTAAACAAACAAACACAAACAGAGAACGACGAAGTAAATGAAAAATTAAATGTAAATTCTTTACACGGCAGCAGCCCCCGACTTCAGCCATATTGCTGCTTTAATCGTTAATTATACTACTAATAATTATACTACTAATAGTTATACTAATTCATTGAACGGCCGATGTATTGATTATTATAATTATTGGCGTAGGCAGGGTCGGATTTAGATGAAGAAAGGCCCCAGGCTATTCCATTTGTGAGGCCCTTCCAAATCCCGCCTTCTCACGAGTAGAGGGAAATAGAAGAGTGTTAAACAATATGAGTAAAGCCGAGGATGATGACAGGTGTTTGAAGGGGTTTTTTAGAGCAGGGGGTCGGCAACCTTATGCTAACTATGTGCCGACTTAGTCATTCAGTGTACCAACAGCAGACGTATTTTTATATAAGTCAAGGTCAATATACCTGTTAGACAATATATTTTATATAGTAACATATAGTATATATACTTTAGTATATATTTAAATTGAAACAGCTAAATATCTTCTTTGCGTTGTAGTAGATATTAGTTCGGACTTCGTGATGTCATTTGTGGCTGCGTGCCATTGGAAATTGCTTGGCGTGCCACGTTTAGCACGCGTGCCGCAGGTAGCCGAAACCTGGTTTAGAGTCTACAATGTGTTATGACAGCGTGTGTAAGAAAGACCTATGACAGTGTCAAACACATACACTTTGGCTGGAGACCCTCTAGATTTTGAGGCCCTAGGCTAAAGGTAAATCCTGGCTCTGGATTTAGGTCTCTTCCCTTAATTCTTCACTAGTAAACTAGACACTAATATTCCTTTATATGTTTAAGACAAGTCTATATTCCCTTACTTTTGAAGACTTAATAAACACCTTGAACATGTAATAATTTTCTTAGAAACTTGATCATGTTACCAGAAGAGAAAGAAGCGGTGTTTTAGAGGAGAGAAAAAAATACGCTTTTCCATTATTTCCATGCAGAATATTGTTCCATCTTTGTTGTTGTTATCACAACGTTTCGACCGTTGCACCATCCAGCCTTCATCAGGTGTCTTTCGATCCGGTTAGTCACCAGGGAATTTCAAACTGAACCCTTTATTTAATCTACGGGCTTATACTGTTCTCGCTCCACTGCCTACGTCCAGGAATATCTCGCCTTGTTCTTATTTAGCACTTGGACTCAGGGGAACTGAGCTGTACAGCTGTGCCTAGGATGTGCACGCGTGGGACAAAACAGTATGACAAGTCGATATATAATCACCTATCCGAGAAGGAAGAAGATGTAATATGCACACGAAAATATAGAATCCACGTTCGGAGAAAACCCTAAAGACACATAACCAGTTGTCATTAGTAACTGAAAAGTGTGCAGTTGAATAAACAATAATGCTACGTGTGAGGGTTAGGGTTTTTTTTTTTAGACTTGTACAATGTTGCAATAACGTTACAAAAAGTTACAATAATTATATAAAGGATATTGTTTGAGTTGTTGTCTGGTAATAATTGCAAAGTCTCGAATATTTGGATAAAGTTTGTTCAGTTTTAGAAGATTTCTTTTCATCATTCTGTTTTTGGAATTAACCTCAAATTTGGTCGAATTTGAATTACTTCCGTATATATTAGTGTTCAATATAGAGAGCTAATACACAACCCTGTTTAATACCATCGGTCATTGGGAACGGGTGCGAGGGGAGGCCTCTATGGTTCCCTTGGCCTTCCATTCCGTCGTGGATCATACGGATCAGAGGCACAAAGCGATCCGGACAGCCAAAGCGGGCAAGAGTGGCCCACATTGCTGGTTTTTTAGACTTTGTCGAAGGCCTTCTGGAGATCCCAGAAGGTGGACATCAGTGGGTTTTGCTGCTCACGACTCTTCTCCTGTTGCTGTCACACACAGAAGAAATGGGGGCGGGGGTGGTGTGGTGTGGTGTGCGTGGACCGTCAACATGAAGAGAATCTGCGATGTGCTGCCAGAAGGACCCGACTCCACCATCTGCGTCGACCACCCACACGCCTGCGTGGCTCCAGCCTGTAACTCTTCAGGAGTAGGCTGCGCCTTTACAGCCATCTCCGTCACCACCGCCAGAGAGGAGAAAGGGAATAAGGAGAGAGGATGACGATCCCGATGATCGGATGCGAACGGATGCCGAATAGGGGCAATATAAGCAGTAGTTTCAAAACAATGTGACGGGACTCATAGTTGCATTGGAAGTAGATAGCAGGTGAGGTGTAATAATTGAAAGACAAATATTTAGAAACAGTTTCAAAAAATTCACATGCCAAAAATAAATATGATTTAAAAATTAAAAATATTATTGTGGATTACTTATAATTGCTTGCATGAATCCCAATATAAATAGTTATAAATAATTATTGACCGATTTTATCATTGTGATATTTTTGTATTATAACAAGTATTAAGAATATAGTAACTAGGGTCCTCAAATTGAAGGAGAGAGTTATCAATGATAATGTTCTGACTTCGAATCCGCAGTTATCTCCCTTTAACCTTCTCTCTGTTTATTTTATTTTTAAATGTACTTTTTATCACTTAAAATTTGGTGAGGTGTGAGCAATTTTTAATTCCGAAAATGCACCCCAGAGAAAAAAAAAGTCTGGGCGCCACTGATATAGAGAATAAAGTTGGGTGGTATTTGAAGGAAACGTCGAAAGTGTAGCAGCCATCATGCAATCGTCTTTTGACCTTGAAAATAGTGACTGTTTTGTGAAACTCACACTGCGACGACAAGAAGCAGCCATTTTTCAAAGAGACAAGGTCGAGAAGACGTGAAAAAACTTCTCTCCCTCGATTTCAAAGAAACAATCATTGGTGAACAATGTTGCTGTTCCTACTGTAGAGGCAGAGGTGATGAGGGAAATATTTTGAAGATGTGATGAACATGACGGACCAGGATCTGCATAGACTAATGATGAAAAAAAATGATGGATATTAACCAATGAATTAATGTGACTGATGCTCTCAACGACTCTTAGGTGTCAATGATGGCTGCTGAGAAGTTTGTCTATCTTCATGAAGCTGTGCCAAGCGAATCTTTCGTAGTCAACGCCTCATTAAATGCACCCGCAGTAGATCGTTACAATGTTATATATTCGAACTCATTGTTTTATAGAGAATTAAGAAACATAAAACAAACACTTATCAACAATAATTTCCCAAACATGTTGATGAAGAAATAAGATTAGCTTCAAAGAAATTTAGAAATAATAATATAAGCAACCAATTTGATATAAACAAAAATAATGACGCCATTAAATTGTTTTATTGTACAAGAATAATGACGCCATTAAATTGTTTTATTTTGCAAGAATAATGACGCCATTAAATTGATTTATTGTATAAAATCGTGCTAAAACGATTTCCTCTTCGGCCACATTGTTTTATTACACACACACACACACACACACACACACACACACACACACACACACACACACACACACACACATTGGGGGAAAATATATGATAGTGGGAAAAGTTTTCCTGTGACACGTTTCGTCTTTTAGTACAGAACAAAAATGATCTCGTAAATTTCTATTCTCATCAAAACATCACAATAAAATCTGTCATAATCATCAGATTTTACTTAAGAGTAATCAGAATTTGCAGCCCTCAATATTTACATGAAGAAAAGAAATACATTGAAAGCACTTTCAATGTTTCTTCAGTATCCTAATTATTTTATATTCAGTCCGAAGCAAAGGCTCATAAAATATTCCAAAATAGAAAAGCGGCTCCTCCCGATAAACCCAATGAATCAAAAAGAAATATTGTCCTACCAACTAACTTGGTAGGACAATATAATCAAAAAAATATATTGTCTTACCAACTAACTTGGTAATGCACCAAAGGCATTGGTTGCCATACGTAACGAGACTAATTTTTGCATAAAAAGGCTACTCTTATCAAATAAAGAAAACAATTCACTAAGACGTAAATGTTTAGAGAGTGCCTTGATCGCAAGGTCATCTAAAGTAATTGGCGCCCTGGTTCTTACAATATTTCACCATTCTTGATAGACCAAATATCACAATGTAGAATAGTAATATCTACGTATAAAAGTGATGGAAAGAAAAATATATAAAAATGGCGCAAAAAGGCAACACTGATCAAAGAAGAAAACAATTCACTAAGACGTAAATGTTTAGAGAGTGCCTTGATCACAAGGTCATCTACAGTAAATTTACGCCCTGGCTCTTTTCTCCATTTCTGGTAGAAATTCTATTATCATAGTGTGGGATATCTAATAACAAAATTAATGGGAAGAAAAAGAATTTAAATGAATTCGGCTAGAGTATATACACTCCACACACAAATTAAATTCCCCAGCGTTCCTCTTTCGTGCTCATGTTGTGTAGTCGCATCAACATAACAAATTTAGTCTGATGATGTACTAAAGGACAAACGCGTTACATGAAAACCTTTTTTTTCGCCAGACATTTTGTCCAAAGCGCTCGGAAATATAAAACATTTGGACAGTTCTTACACACCCTTTGTCCAGAAAAGAAAGCTCTTGTTCGAACACAAGAAAAATAAAATAAAAAGCTTAACCGTAGTACCTTGTCTGTCGTTTTTAATGAAACATGTATAAAAGAAGGATTGCTGTCTAAATATACAACTATATATATATATATATATATATATATATATATATATATATATATATATATATAAGAGAAAAGAACAAATGGAGTAATAATCTACAGTTCGTAGTATTTACTTTTAAAAAAGTGCTTAATACAAAGTAGAGCAAAATATTATTATAATATTTTTATTATAATAGATAATAAAAACATTTTTGAAATCGCTACACAAAAACTTTCATGTTTCAATACTATGATTGTACTTCCTCAGTCGATGGTTGCTAACTGATGATAAAAATGTTTTTTTTAAGGATATATATATATATATATATATATATATATATATATATATATCCAAGTAGATCCTATTAATATAAAATATTAAAACTGATTCACAAAAGAGAGCTCATCAATATAATTTTTTTATTATAGAGCATATAAGTGAATTACAATTAATGAGATCTCAATAATTGTAATTCACACACACACATATATATATAGAGAGAGAGAGAGAAAGAAAGAAAGAAAGAAAGAAAGAAAAAAGAAAAAGAAAAAAAGAAAGAAAAAAAAGAAAGAGAGACTAAATATAAATCTTAAAAAATTTTATTCAGGGGAAGCAACTTTAAATTTTTTATTATCTAGTTACTTCCCTTGTTTTTGGTTCATTCCATATTCTGAACGCTTCCAGCCTCGGAAAATAATTCATTCATGAAGCAATTCGTTATAAACAAATCATTAAAAAGAACTTGTGAAACAAGCAGATTGGCGGCTCAAGCTCGACGATTGAGCTTGTTGTCAACTGCTTGAGAGATGAACAAGTATTTCTCATGAATTCCTGATAGGAGTTGATGTGTATCTTTTCTTTCTCAAAGTCCAAGTTGCGCGCTGAAATAAATTTGTTTCTTCTGAAATTCTATCAATTAAAAATACATTCAGTATGGGTTCTTTAAAAAAAATAGACCCCACCCTCACCTTACCACACATTACCTCCTATACAAGGTCGAATCATTAAATGCGTCATCTGGCGATAGTGATAAGCTAAATTTTGATCTAAAATTTTCACTGAATAATATTCGAGCTATGTGGTTAATATTTATCTCCGAATAAAGTGCATTGACAAAGGTGATCATGTTGAAAAATATTTGTTGTATAAAGTAAATATTTTTTTAGCATTAGGTCACAGATTTATTGATTTACCCACATAGTGCGAGACTTAGTAAAGATTTATATATATATATATATATATATATATATATATATATATATATATATATATATATATAGAGAGAGAGAGAGAGAGAGAGAGAGAGAGAGAGAGTAGAGCATAAATATGGAATCATATTTTAAATAAATAATTATATTTATGCTCTACTTTTGTATCAAGCACTATTTTTAAAAAATAATAACTAAAATACTAAGGGACTTTGGATTATTTACCTAACCAGTTCATTCCTATTTTATATATATTTTCACATATATACACACATATATATATATATATATATATATACTTTTCTACTTCGGTGAAATGTAGCAGATAGTCGCTGGGAATTCCACACAGTTATAGAAAGCAAAAGGATAAAAGTGTCAAGTTACGACTTTATCTTTGGAACGCCACAGACATCAGGGAATGCCTTTACACTACCTCTTAGGGCAGTGAGGTGATATTAACTAAGGCAACGAGTTCCCTGAAATTAGACATTATATATTTTATTCTTGCGTCCATGAAGAGCTAAGCCAGTGTCCCAGTTTAAAAATACAAGAACATGGCTTCGTTAATGAATTCTGTTCTCAGTGGATGCTGGACTACTGAGGCCTTGAGCCAGACTAACCGGAAATTCGCTCTCTGTCTCTCTGTAATCGTTCTTTCAGGTTAGGTAATAGCGAGGAGCTTGTTGATTTTGAAGTCAGGTAAGTCTTCCTCAATTGAAAGACTGCTACAATGCAATGTTCCTTCCACTTATTTGTTTTGTGTTATAGAGTCAGCGTAGTAAATATTTACTTTTTAATAACCACTGGGCACATTTTAAAGCCTAGATCAAATTCAATGCAGCCATATTTTCAGCCGCCATTTTTCTCAGTTGAGTGAAACAGACGCCATGTCAATTCTGTCCAGTGTTTTTAAATCTCATGGCGTTTCCCTATCTCTCTGACAACTAGATATTTTTTTACTCCTCCAGCAGCATTTGCACCTTGAATAGTTTGCATTCTGCATTGTTCATTTGCTTTCATTCCATTCAGGACGGCCAACGAACATTCGGCCTCCATCCTTCTCTCCCTGATTCTACGTCTGTTGACCCCCCTCCACCCTGTTCTCCCCTGAACGCCCATTCCCACGTCCTCTCCTGCCACTACCGCCCACATATTTAGCCCCTTTTCTTCACACCACTTCCACGACCAGCGCACACCTCGCAGGCTCGGCACGCGTTCTTTTCATCCGGCCGCCGCCCTCCTCGGCTGTCTTCAACACGTCAGCATTCTCCAATCTCCTCGACTTTCGCCTCTCAACGCTAATTTCAACCTTTTTCTCCCTTTCTTTACTGATAATGCAATCAACAAAATCATACAATAAGGAATAGTTTCATGAATTTCAACACCCGCCCCATTTACCAGAAACCGGCGACTTATCACTTCACAGTGATAGATTTCTATCAACTTATCCCCGGCAAAAAAAAAAAAAAAGAAAAAAAAAAGATGGAAACAATTGACAGAAGGTGAGGTTAGAAGAAAGAAAGAAAGAAAGAAAGAAAGAACGAACGAACGAATGAACCAGTTTATTGGCTTTATTACATCTTGAAACCTATTTTTCTTCCGTTCTGAGGACATTTCCAGTTATTTAGACCCGGAATCACACCGCGCGTAAAACGACTGATACCCTTGCTTCTATTTTGGGATTATTTCTTTTCTTTTCATACAAAGTGAATTAAACAATTTAAAGTTAATTTTGTTGTCCACAATCAATCTCCACCCCGCCCTCAATAAAGCCTCATCTTTGTTAGGTTAGAAACATATTTACACTATTAAATTGTTTTTTTTTTTTTGTTTTTTTTTGCGTCTCGGTCGAAAGACATCTATATAATAAATGCGAATATCAGTATGTCACAAATTCCCAACTTTACTCCTAGAGGCCGTAGCTGAACATATCATACCATTTTTGGAATCAGGCCGACTCCATGAGCAAATTAAAAACATTCCGGTCCAGATCCAAATCCATAATCCAGAAATTTTGGATTCCTAAGTCTTCATTACTGCGATTGTCTTCAGCGATTTTTGCGTGTTTTTTTTTTTTTTTGCGATAACAATTTTTATAACTTGGAAATAAATTTGGGAATAATCAAAATTAATTGCGAAATCCAGCAAAAATCACTCATGAAATAAAAATAATTGTTTGTATGGAAAGTAAGGACCTACATACATCAAAATGTCTTTAAATTAAGTGACAGCAGAATTATCGTAGAACTTTTAAAAGATAAGCTTAAATATTAATGCAATGCTTAAATGCAGCGATCAGTTTTGAGTTCTACTGTAGTTTATTGCTGCCTATCGTTTCTACTCCTCCCTACCTATTGTGATGAAGGCCCAATCAAGAGCCCTCCACAAGAGCTAGCTTAAATGCCGCCCTATCGGGGGCTTTTAAGCTAGTATGTAATATGGTTGAAATTCATCTCTTACAGAAATTTATTTAAAAGTCTCGAGCTTTCTCGCCTGTGAAAGAGATTTCGTCGCTCTAAAGCTGTGAACAGTGTTGCTACTCATACTCTACCGAAGTACACACCGGAGGAAACGCAATAATTAAACAAGAAAGATAGGGACACCAGTAAGAATACCTGCCGAAATGAAGGCAAGACAGGAAGAGAATGAAAATCACTAATTAATAATGGCTTGCAATGCGAAAATCGAAACTATTCTGTCATGGCATTCTGGTTATTTGAAATAGTTATACAGTGTAACCCGGATATAAGAGACCCGGATATAAGAGAAACCCCGGATATAAGAGAGATTTTATCTGGTCCCAAATTAGAGTCCGTGTTAATGTATATAAAATAGACCAAACCCGGATATAAGAGAAACCCGGATATAAGATACTTCTTCTCCGGTCCCGTCAACTCTTCTATATCCGGGTTACACAGTAGTTTATAGTCCTTCTAACAGAGAAAGGAACATCTATGAATTCAAATGAGAGAGATAGAGAGGGGAGGGGGAGTTAGAAAAGGTAATTTATATGCAAGTTATGTTAATAGAAATACACCCTATATGAAATACTGTAATAAGAGTCAGTTATACAAAAGAAAAATTAGTGCAGGATTTCTACGACAGTTCTCCCGATTCTTTGCTTCGATGCACCCCCCCCTCCTACATGTGCATATTACAACACTACATCACGAGTTCTATGTCCAATTATTAATGTTGGTTCTAGTGCTTTCAACCATTCTCTGGTCATTCTCAGAAAGAAACAAAACAAAAACAAAACACTGGTGTTATTTGTTAGAACAAGACGAACTAATAAACTCAAAATGATGTCCTCTTAGTGACATTAATTCTCGTGTCGATATATTTTGCCCTGTAACATGGATTTGAAAAACAAATCTTCTCGGACTATCGCCCTCATCTTTGTTGCCATATTTATCCCAACGTTACGGCCGTTGTACGCTCCGGCCTTCTTCAGTTGGTTGGAATGTCGAACTGAGCCCTTTATTTCGCTCGCTGGGGTAGACTGTTCTAGTTCCACGTGCCATGTCTAATGGATGTCAGTTATCTGTCATCTGCCGTTAATTCACCTCTCCAAGTTTTCCACTGCCTTAACCAGGTATTGAACTCACAATTCTTTAGGTCCTATCACTAGATCTAACCAACGCCTTTATCCACTGTGCCATGTGTCCTTAAAGTGTTCAGTTCGACATTCCAACCACCTGAAGAAGGCCGGAGCGTACAACGACCGAAATGTTGTGATAAATATGGCAACAAAGATGAGGACAATAGTCTGAATAATGTAAATAGTCACTTCTTTCTATCTCAACTTAGCCACAGTTCTTTGTGTGTGTCTTCTTTTGCTAACTTCCATATTTTATGTCCTTACGTCATTGTAAATCTGACGTGTTAAGCATATTGACAGGTTGTCTTTATTATTATAAAATGTTTTCCAAGCACTACGAATATTTATTTCATTTTCAAGGTTTTCTTTAATGCTATCACTTGTCCTAAGTAGATATATTCCTGGTCTTCTTCCAGTTCCCCGTCCTCTATTTTTATTCTCTTTTTTCCAGACCGTTCCGAAAAGGAGATCTTCAAACTAAATAATGGTTTTATTGATAGAATCATATAGATGCAGGGGCAGAGAATGATTACATATATATATGATTCCATCAAATAAAGCACTATTTCCTCAGAAGAAGTCCTTTTGAAGGACACAACGCGTTACATTGGATTTTTTTCTATTTCGTCATTCAATATTCCAATTTTACTATGATATAAAGAATTTATATATAATATTCTCCACTACTGATATCGCATATATTCTTGATAACTTTTATATAGTTCTCATTAATATCGTTCTCCCTTCGTGTCTGTCGAGTGTTCTACTGAATCAAATGCTTTTCCATAGACAACCAAAACAAACCAAATCGAGTGTTGCAATCCTTTTTTTTTTTAAAATTAAACTCTATTGTTTGTAGATAATTTACTGTTGAATAACCACTTTTAATGTTTGATTGTCTGTGGAGCGAATGTTATATACGCACATGTCATACTACTTGGCACTGGGTTTATGATATTTTGCTGTGACTAATTAGGCGATTTTCTTTGGTCATAGTGGCATGACTATAACGCAACTTTTTGTCAAAATATAAGCTATAGGATATAGGGTGAAGTAAATTTATATCTTTCCCAGGGTTGTTAGTGCATAATAAACATACTTCAGTTGAAATTCGAACTCCGTTCGTCGTTTCTATTTTCCGTGCTTGACACGCCCCATTCACCCCCCCGATACACAGATGATGATGATGATGATCATCATCATCAATCCCAAGACCGGGAGTGGTCTTAGGGTCACTATGCAGGTGAGCACCCGACCAGGTCCCTCCACATATCGGATTTGAAAGCCGAAGAGTTTTCATTCGGGCGTAACATGTAGACATGACCGTGTCTATTCCTTTACAGCTTAAACGACAGCCAATGTCCGCCAACTTGAAAGCACACCTTGGTCATAGACACTTGATTCCCTCGGGGCAACCCCCACCCCCGCCACCGCCGCTACACAAAAAGCGATCCCCGTTGATCTAGATGGCCATTGAAGCAATAATAAGATTCATTTGCCTTTTGAAATTTCTTGTTTTTAATACCACTGGGTGTCCATTCACACTCATCCCCAGAAAAGCATGGTGGGGGAACCGGTTTAATCGCTGATGAGCCGATCACGCGGTAGTTACTAGGTCACATGATACCAGGAGCATTCGTTGAGTGACATTTTTTATAATTATATAGTTTTTCACAATGAACTAATGAATAAAAGTCATATTTTGCTTTTCTAGATAGGAAATCGGTAGACGTTAAATATTTGTCGTTAGCGTGAATGGGTCTTTGGTGACTTTATTGAATTCATTCTTTAAGCAGACGAGTTTGTATTTGTTTTTGCTTTCAAATGCTGATAGTAGCAGACGTAATCAATTTTTTTCCAATGAGTAGGTTATCATCAAAATCAAATTTCGAGAACGGCCGACCATTCGATAATACTTGGCATTTATCTTTATCGCAATGAAACGAGAATTTTCTTTCATCTTTTAAGAGAAATGCTTTTTAACGAGTTTTATCAAAATATAAACAATCTTTGCAATAGTTATCATTTTTGTCTGTTTTCGAAACAAAAATGTCAAGTAAATTAAAAATAAGGCCCAATTCGAAATTATTTTGAATAAACCTTTTTGAATTCAAACTAAAATAAGCGCTGAATGAAACTATTTTATCTGTCTATATTTCTGAGTTGAGGTATTGTAAATATTTACATTATTTCCATTCTTCGGATTGTTGTCCTCATCTTTATTGTCATAGTCACGACATTTCGGCCGTTGTACGCTTCGGCCTACTTCAGGATCTGTCTATATTTCTGAGGTGAGGTATTGTAACTATTTACACTATTTCCATTGTTCGGACTGTTGTCCTCATCTTTATTGTCATATTCACGACGTTTCGGCTGTTGTGCACTCCGGCCTACTTCAGGATCTGCCTATATTTCTAAGGTGAGGTATTGTAACTATTTACACTATTTCCATTCTTCGGATTGTCGTCCTCATCTTTATTGTCATATTCACGGCGTTTCGACTGTTGTACGCTCCGGTCTGCTTCAGGATCTGTCTATATTTCTGAGGTAAGGTATTGTAACTACGTGGATGACACCACAATTTATTCCTGCCTCAAAAACAAATCTAGTGTCACTGACTAAACTAACCTGACCGTGCGTCTCGAAAAGGACCTCTA